GTAAAAAGCTTCTGTGTCTCTATAATGCTTGTTAATATAGATCTGGTTTGTTCATTTCTATCGAACTAAAATAATTTTTCTGATATTTTTCTTCATTCATTAAACCCATCTGTTAAATATCAGGACGACTGATCAGGGCTTTGGGGTGACCACTGCCATTCCTYGTTAGCAGATCTGTGTTTCCAAGGCCTGACGAGAAGGTTCAACCCTGCTATTACTCACACGGGTTGTTTGGCTGGCTCCACTGCCCTTAATCCGAATGAGTAACAGCTCCAGGACTGACCCTTTCACTTTGTTGAACACTGCACCAGTAATTAATTTTTTTCAAGTTTTCTCAATACTATTCTGAAACATGACAGATGAACTCACACTGATGAGTCGGGTGCTCCCATTTTAACTCCAGCAGCTTCCACACACACAAGCACAGCTTTAAACACATCCCCATCCCTTTAAGCACAGAAACATGCCCACTGCATTCATAATACAACAGGGCGTGCGATTTTGAAATTTAAAACCACTGCTGAGCCAAGAGAAAGATGCAGTTCTAAGCCAGTCCTTAAATCATTAAAATGGAACAATAAAAAGGGCCCTAATATAAATTAAACCAGTGGGTTTGTAAATGCAGGCGTGCTGAGGGCAGTGATGCTGCAGGCTGCAGGCTCCTCGCAAGGTTCTGTAATTTATTTATTTGTTTACTGCCTGGCACTACAAACCCAGTTAAAACAGAGGTAGCACAGATCTCAGGAGTGTCTGGTCAGCCAAGTGACACCTGTGGCTCATTCTCAGCTGGGCTTTGTCACAGCAAGGATGAGCCTGTTGKTAAACCCTTCCCTCCACTTGCTTATCTGACTCGACAGCCCTCATTTCCACACCAGGATTCCTCCATCTAATTAGAGCAGTCATTCTGTAAATAAAACAGAAGAATGTTCCTATTGCATAACGTAACCCTTCCCCGGTCCCTGAGTTGCAAATTCCAGTGACAAATACCAGTTACATGAAATAGAAGGAGGCGAGAGCTTGGGAGGAGCTCTTTACCGTTTCCTTTGATAGAAAAATAAATTTATGGCTGAATAAAGCTGTTCCTGTACATTTCTGGATCAGCAAATAAAAAAAAATGTCACAAAAAAAGACAGTGCACATTCAGAGAAAAACAGGATGGGTAGGGCTGCTCTCTGCTACCCTGTGCCAACCTAATAGATATTATCTTTAATGCATCTAGAGAAGGTGGGTGCTTTGGAAAGGAAGTTGGATGGGTTTCATGCAAAGAGGGGAGGTTTGTCTCGGTGGATCTTTAAATCTCTCATTGGGCCTGGTGGGAATTCATAAAATCACTTCATAAAATCACACAGCCTTTGGGAAAAAGTGCAATGGCACATGATGGGAAAAGCAGCCTGAAGGGACACAGCCACCTGTGCCAGACAAATGTCCCAAAAAAAGCAGGGAGGAGGAATTTCTGCCAGAGAAACAACGAGCAAAGAAATGTGCAGAGAAGTAAACAAGAGGAGGAGTTGTTTTGTGGAGATGAAAGCTGTCACTAAAGACAGTAAACATCTGGTTGTGTTGATTACACGTTAGGAGCTGGATGAATCATGGATGACTAAATCTAGGATCAGGCTAGTAGGACTGGAAATAAGTCCAGGGTTGTGTGTTTAAAAGAGTAGAGCTGGTACTTACACATCTTTAGTAGTCCCTGTAGCACCTAGGGAAAAAAAAAAAAAAATAAACATGTTTACCAGGTAGTGGCACAATCCTCCAAACCAASCAACAGTGCAGTAATCATATTTCTGTGATTCTGTCCTAAACAACACAGAAATAGCAACAGAAATTTGCTCCTGTCAGAGAGCACATTTATCAGGATGGTTCAGTTTATCCTTAATGATTATCCCTGCTACTCCTCAAGTCTGTCACCCTCAGATCTGCGCCAGACTCTCGGAGTGTGAAAATGATGCTGCCATGGACCAGTGCCCAGTGCAGTCACTCAAGGTGGGAACAACACAAGACAAAAGCGAAATTCTTTCTGAATTTCACAYGCTTCACTTTGCTTAGTCTTCTGATGGTTTTGCCTGCCAGAAAGTTGCCACAACAAACCACGCAGCTCCTCCCAAATGCCAGATTATTCTGCCATTTGATGCAGTTGGACAGCAGGTGTAAAATAAAATTTTACACGTGTGTAAAATGCTGTCTCTGCCATATAAATAAAGTTTTATAAAACAACTAGACAGAACTAATACAAACATCAGGGCACAATCCACCCAAAGCCCCAAATTTCTAAGGGGATCAACCACCCCTTAATTCATCTTCCATTTAACAAAAAAACAGAGACAAAAGCTGTCACCTGGCTGCCTGCTATAAGTGACTGATTTTTTTTTTTGGTGACTCAAATATTTCTTGGTGGTTGGAAGTACAAACTCTTTTCTGTTCCTCCCAAGTTACTAATGTTGTGTTGCTCTTGCCAATATATAATTCAGTTGAGTAAACAGTGAATTATCCCTTCTATTAATTACAGAAGCTGGGGCACATATTAGAGAAACCTTTCACTCCTCCTTTCCTCTTAGCACTGAGCTGGAAAAGGTGATCTGGGCTCTCTCTGAAGAAACTTTAGTAGCCAATCCCAGATATTTTTTGAGTTTGGAGGCAGGTTGTTCTTTTTTTCTCCCAGAGTACTTCATTTTTTGAAAAACTTTTATTTTTTCTGCCGCTGAAAAACATCCATAAATAGCAAATACCTTTCATCTCACTTTGATGTGTAACAATATGCCTTCTTACTTTAAACAAGAGAAAGAAATATTCCTGCATAGCTTTCCAGCTCTGAGCAGATTGCTGGAATGGCAGGAAACATCACCCCTGAACATAACAACGTTCCCATTTTTTTTGATTTGACCATCCCTCCTTTTCCCCAGCAAYAACCCAGACTGGACCTGTGTAAGCCTGCACACATTTCAGGGCCAGCAAAATCTCAGTGTGGCCACACACATCAGCAGAAACAGCTCAGCCCTCACTCTCAAACTTTACTCCTCCAGACAGCCTTCAGAGAATTTTTGGCTCTGCAGGCACATCTATAAAGCATTAAATGTAAACCTTTGGAATGAATTGTGTCCAGGTGGAAGGTTGGGGTTGCTGTGTGAGCTCAATCTCGATGTAGGGAGATGTAGGAGATCTTTTGCTACAAGGCTGGTTCATCCAGAGTCAGCTCAGCCTTCAGGGCACCCCCTGTACCTCTACACACATCAGCAACATTTCACACAACATCTGTTTCAAAAAGCCTAGCTGGAGCTGGCAGGATTTTTAATTTTTTTTTTTTCCAGAAGAAACTACTCCTTTGCCATGCCTTTTCTGCACCAGGGCCATGACTTTGTTATTTTCTCAGTCTGAACTCACTTCAATCCAAACCAGATTCTCTAAAAAGGTTCATGGTCCTTTTTGAGGCCTTTGCAGAGACTTTTMTAAGTTGAGGTCTCAGCACCTTGGATCCCTATCTGAAAAATGTGTCTTCTTGCAGGAARAAGAGCAAAATACAGAATTTTTAATACACAAAATGAAACTTTAAGCTGAGTGAGATGAATTGTCACCCTGGAGGTGACACCTGAATTCCAGTCCATCACGGGGCACATTTCAGTGCCACATCCATGTCCAGTGCCTGTCTTCAAGGCATTTTGGGACAAATACAGTCTCTCTCCAGACCATCAGCCTGGGCTTTGTGCAGAGCTGTACAGCCACAAAATCTTTTCCAAAAGTTTGGAAATGCACCACTAACGTCCACATGTGCCTCTGCTGAAAAATCACTGCAGTGTTTTAAAATGCATTGCACACAAACATTGAGTATGACAAAAACAAATTCATTTTTTAAGAGATCATTTTTACCTTTATAATAATTTTTAAAGCACATATTAAAAGAAATTGTTTTCTACTTTTTTATAAGCCCAGCAAACCAGTTTCTCCTCACTTCCACTGATGGGGTTCCATTAATTTCAGTGGGGTTATTTCTCATTTTCACAAGCAAAAGTGAAACAAGGGTTTGGTTCACATTCATTCAAGTGTTAGTAAGGTACCCAAATATAGATCTGAAAGTATTTCCAGTTAGTAAAGGAGTTTTCTTCCTGCAAGGGTTCTGAGCTTGCAAATGAACATCATTTTAGCTGGGTGTGCCATAAAAAAAAGATCTTTGTGTAAAAACTGTGTAAAGGGAGTTGTTCCTTGTTCATTAGGGAGCCAGAACATCCCTTATATCTATAAAATATAGATATTCTTTATCAAGGAACCATCTCAGCTCAYATAGAAGTGTTTATTTATGAAGCCAAATCCATTCACCCTCATCCCATTATTTTGCTGACATATTTGCCTAACTCTTTCATTGAGTTTAGTGAGCAGCACAATTTCACAGCTGCTCAGGTTCTTTCTGTCAGAAGTTCAGCAAAGATTCTTGTTTACAACTGATCCACCAACACTCTGTAGCTGGTTCCATGGCAGCAAGGTTGAGTGCTCTCACAGATACGATGGTTTGCATGGATGACTTGAGAAAAGCCTCACATATTTAAAAAAGTCATCCATTTTTCCCCACTAAATCAACTTGGTCTAGAAAAAGGCAGCACTACAAACCTCGACAGGCTCTTGTTTGCTTGGTTTTCCAAAATCTGCCTAACTTCAGCAACAGATTGAAGAGTTGAAGCCACATCCTTTAAAAACAGGCAGCACTGAATTGTCCTGAATGACTGTTCTGCTCACACCATTTACACATTTACCATTTACACAGCAGGACCATTTTGGTGTTTGAGAGTTGAAGAAGGAGGAGAAAGTGAAGCCTGAAAATAAATGTGGTCCATTCAGACACACATTGCYCTGAGCCCCAGTGATTACAGGAGAAAAATATTCTATCTGGAGCAGTGGAGCTGTGATCCCTCAAAAAACAAACAAACAAAAAAACCCAAAGAAAAAAAACCCCAGAGCATTTAAATAGTCACAAATCAAAAAGAAGAACATATCCCAAAGCATCTTCCACACGGTGAGAGGGGGTTTTGCTTTTTCAGAACAACAGCAGCTTCTCTTGGTGGCACCAGAGGATTTCAGGAAATGCAGGCCTGATGCAAAAGGTTKAAAGACGTTGATAGCCACAGAAAATATTCCTCTATGCTGAGAAATGCATCATGAGTGAAGATGAGAGACAAAAGCTTCAGMAAAACCTAAAAAGCATGAGAAGCAACCACTCACATGAATAAACACAGGGATAAAAAAAATGCCAGTATCTGACTTTAGAGTAGATTATGAACCATCTTCCTAATATTTTCAAATGAACAAAGTCCTATGACACTTTCTTAGACATATTTGAAATTGTTACAAAAAGCAAATAAAACCCCTCAAAAKTAGACATAACATTCATGCAACTGCTAAGATTACAAATGAGTTTTTTTTCCTTTCTGATGTGCTCCAACAATCAGACACACGCTCTAACATAAATGAATTTATTCTGTTTACATCCCGTTGTAACTGAGGAAAGAACTGTATCAATTTGCTTCAAATTGATTCCTTTTTCAGCTCACCAGGCAGGAGTTCTGTACACAGACTTGACCTGATCAATAGAATGGCACGATGACATCCTGAGCATTCCACCAAGCTTGGAGTTAATAAATCTGCTTAAACTTGGGGTGAAAGTTCTCCTTCATCGTGAATTTACTCTATGTGAAGCTTTCCTCAGACTAACAGCTTCTCCATGTATTTAAATTAGGGTTGACTGACAGTTTCCAAAGAGTGCCATAATTTAAGGTGCTGTCATTACTACTACAATAGATACAGAAAGGAGGAGGCAGTTAAAAATTTTTAGCAAAGAATAACTAGAATAAAGGGAAATGCCTTAACTAAAAAAAAAAATAATGTTTGAGAGCATATTTTTAAAATATATATAAAAAAAAAAAGAGCTATTTTTGAGCTTTTAAAACTCCAGGAAATAACATGAAAGAAGGATATGTCAAATGAGATGACAAAACATAAGGAAAACAGCAAGTTGAGAAATAAAAAAAAAATACCTATACTACATAATTAATACACAAAAAAGCTAAGTATTTTAAGAAGGATATATATTTATCAGTTTACTTGAATAACTGGAGCTGCCATTTCTCAGCTGAAGAGTTTTCTGCCACTGTCTGGTACTCTGGAAAGAACATCTGAATGCTATATCGGCATTTTGGAGCACTGAAATGAAAATGAAATTTTGGAGTACCCCAGACTGAAATGTTACTCTAGATCACWTCTATTAGTTTAGATCTCCCAGACCATGGAGCTGAAAGCTCTGATGTCATTCTAACCATGCAACAGAAGATAATATCATTAGCTGAACTGTCACCATATATACATCCGCTTAGGAAAAATAAAACTAGGCTACAATAGGAATTTAACCAGAGTAAGAAAATGGGGGTTGGAGTAACACATTTAATGTTTTCCATGAAGTACAGCTACAATATTATACTTAGTCATATGGCTCGGCAGAGAGTGTTACAGGTTAATTACATATTGTGCACCTCTAGCTTTGACATTACTGACTACAGAACAGTCACAACTTTAACATTAAAGATGCAGTCTTGCTGTGCACGCCACAAAATTAATTTGTATTTACACAGTCTTCACGTCTTTTGATAAAATTGTGAGTTGTACTTCCTTTAAAAGCTTGAGGACTCAGAATAAAACTGGAAAGTTTTCTCCTTCCCCTTCATAAAATAAATTTATTTTTATTAGACACACTTTGCAAGGAATGTTAAATGAAATAAATAAATAGTAGACATCTGACGTCTTACTTTTATTACCAGCTGTTCGTTATTTTAAGACCAGAGGCTGCACAGAGTAATTCCTGACTGACAGTGGTGAAAGTGAGAAGAGAGCTGGACCTTTCAGAGCTGCATTTGATTTGGAGAGGTCTACCAGTGCAACTGKAATAATTCCATTATACTAACAATGTGTTTTTACGTGGCGTTGTTGGTTTTCACCTGTGCTAAGCCATTGGAGATCWGTGGACTTTTCTAAAGAGCATGCAAAAAGTTACCAAAAAATGCAAGTTCAAATATTTTATKCATAACAGTGTAATTAAGTTTAGCTATCAAAGGGGTTGGACCTTCAGTAAAAATATTTTATGCATCTACAAGCCAAAATGTGCTGAAGACAGCTACCTCTAATGAAACGGGACACATTTAAACAAACTTGGAGTCCAAAATAATTCTCTAAATAATACCGCTGTCAGAGTTAGTCCATTTGACATTTACCCATTTCTACTACCCTGGTGCAAGTTCCACAGGGCAGCCAGATCAACATTCATTTGAAAACTGCCACAAACAGAGTGATAATCAACTCAGCATTTTCATCTGAACCTCTCTGAAGCTTGCACTGATGCTTTTACCCAGCAAACAGAAACGGGGGRTGAACAAGCATCACCCCAGAGCTGTGAAGCTGGACTGGTCAGCTACAGAAAGAACTTCCAGTCACTCCCAATGTGGGAATCAACCACAGGGAGAGAATTCATGGGTGCAAACAGGACAGCTCTAATAAGAGCACTGAGTGATGAAGTAAATCCACACAGCGCATTCTTCATGGATGAGAGAGGCCTCTGATGCACAGATGTGGTACCTCAAACTTAATTTACAATCCCTTAACAGRAACAGAATAAGGAATGGCAGAAAAGCCATTCTCCTCTGCCTGGGAAGGGCAGAGTTGAACAGGTAAACCATCAGCACACCTCACAAATGGTCACACATCTGTACASCCTGGAGAAGGCAGCATCATTCACACTCACAGGACTGAGCCACCCAAGGCACCACTGGAGCTCTGSTTAAAGCAAGTCAAAACAGTTCGAGATTCTAAGTGATCCAAGCATTATTTTGCTGTGGATTTTCAAGAGGTGAAAGCTCACGAGTGCATCTGAAAGACTTAAGAGAGGTACGGGAACAGGTGGCAATGTTTGCCAAGKGCAGCCGGGATGAAAAATGATTGAGAAATGCTCATATTATAATGACAGGGTGAAGGTCCACTTATCAGTTTCCATGTACTTTCCTTTCCTGCGGGGGCTGAGGGGAGGAAGAGCACAACAGCACCATCTTCCCAGATYTTATCTCTTTTGAAAATAGCAATGAACAAATAAGGGAGCCTGCTGGACGCACCAGCCAGCAGAACACATTAACATGCATGAAACCTCAATCATGGAACACCCTCCAACTTCTCCAACAAGCAAAGGCGAAGATGTGGCACAAATTCATTTCAGAAGTGGCATTCGTGGCCTTATAGGGAAGCGAAAAGGATGGAGCTGACAGCCCCGGCGGGATCCTTACATCCAGCTCCCGGCCTGGGCTCGCCCTGCCTTGGGCAGCTCCTGTCGGAGGTGGCGATTCCGGCGACAACCGGGCACCAAAAATCCGCCGGTGCTCTCGGCAGGCCACATCACCCTCTCTCCCCTGAGCCAGCGGGAAAGGAAGATGCTCTGGCAAGAGGGCGGGCAGCGATTCCCSCGGCTCGGAGGGGCATCCCCGGAGCCGGGGCTGTATCGGTGCCGGTGCGTGCCCGCGGCCCCCCGCCCCGCAGCCGCCGCGGGTTTGCCCCAGCCCGGGGGATGCTCGCTGCCCCAGACCGGGGGATGCTCGCCCCAGCCCAGGGGATGTTCGCCGCCCCAGCCCGGGGGATGCTCGCCCCGCAGCCCCGGGGATGCTCGCCGCCCCAGCCCGGGGGATGCTCGCTGCCCCAGCCCGGGGGATGTTCGCCGCCCCAGCCCGGGGATGCTCGCCCCGCAGCCCCGGGGATGCTCGCTGCCCCAGCCCGGGGGATGTTCGCCGCCCCAGACCAGGGGATGCTCGCTGCACCAGACCAGGGGGTGCTCGCTGCCCCAGCCCGGGGGATGCTCGCTGCCCCAGCCCGGGGGATGCTCGCTGCCCCAGCCCGGGGGATGCTCGCCCCAGCCCGGGGATGTTCGCTGCCCCAGCCCGGGGGATGCTCGCCCCGCAGACCAGGGGATGCTCGCCCCGCAGCCGCCGCAGGGTTGCCCCAGCCCAGGGGATGCTCGCCCCGCTCGCCCGGCCCTGCCCAGCCCCGCAGCCCTACCTCGCCCTCCCGCTCCGCCGGCCGTGGAGTTGCCGCAGCCCATGGGCGCTGCCCTGCGCGGTGCGGAGCGGTGCGGTCACGGGAGACAGCCGGCGGCGGGCGGAGCCGGGTGGGAGATAAAGCCGCGGGGATCCCTCCTCCTCCTCTTCCTCTTCCTCCTCCTCCTCCTCCTCGTCTCCCCACCTATCGCCCGGGAAACCGCCGGCCCCGAGCGCCGCCGCCCGGCCCCAGCCCCGGCCCCGCACCGCGCCCGCGTTCCACCCCGAGGAAAGCCACACCCCGGGCTGTGCCCGCTCCGGACGGGCTGGAGCTGCTAAACCGGAGAAAGGGCTCAGCCCAGGCTCGAGCCTGAAGGGCCCCGAACGACCCCCACCCGCGGGGAACGGGCGCGGAGCCTCCCCGGGCAGAGGCGATGCTCYTGGGCCACGCGTTCCAGCGGAGCTTTGGGACACCCGACACTCACCAGGGAACAGCGGGGTAACCACAGCACCCGGCTGCAATTCGACATCTGCTACCAATCACCCATTTCGCTATTTTAAGCATATCTCTATTGATTGGTTTGGCTATTTCTCTTCTCTGAAGGAACACGATGGTGAAACTGAAGATYCATTGAGTTGAGAAGAGCTACAGATTTCCCCAAATAACAACAACAGCACTGAGAATCATGAAAGATGAGCTTAGCAATTCCTCAAACAATCATTTCCATTCAACATTCATATCACTCACCAAAAAGAATTTRACTTTCTCTKGACCCGAACCTGTCTTCCACAYCAAAAAGTAAAATACCTTAAACCCYTGATGGCTTTATTACTCCTCMTCTGTCCTCAAATGACCAGGAAGCTGAAACCCAATGGATASATCTAGAAACAACAGCAAATACTCTGGAGAGAGAGATACAACCACTGCAACAAATTTAAGGGCTGAGAAARATGTTTTAGGGGTGTCATAGGAACACCAGTGCGAGCATCAGATATGCATATGACTGSTAATTTTCTACTAGAAAAGGACAAAAGGATAAAAAGTGCTGTTGCCCGGACTCGCAGTCTGTTCAGAGAAAGGGAAAAAAGACATCACAATTCTCTTACAGGTTTCCCAAGAAGTACACGTTAAACAAAGCAGCAGAGACAAGATCCTATGTCTCCTATGGCTTTTTGTCCTAGGGAGGAGCACCTACATGGGCTCACTGATGTCCACCTTAGGACAGGGYAAGATCTCCCTCCCCTGACTGGCCACCTATTTTCATGTCAGCTGTAGAAGGTCAGTATTTTCAGGGTCTTTGTCCATACCTTCCCAWCAAATTGCCTGAACCTGAACAATCAGCTCAAAATTTAATCAGACAGGGCTAATGGGTCCATAGGTATGGCCACACATTTCCTTCACAACTATCACCCCCAAAGCAGACAGACAGCATAAATGTGTGCAGTTTTCTTCAGAAAAAAAAATCTCACAATGGTTCAAAACCACCTCTTTTTCATGGCCAGTTTTCTGAAATTCACACATAGTAATATAAACCCTCAGGCCAAGCTTTCAGCACCAAGCATCAGCCCAAGGCAAGTTTCTAACAGCAGAGTTAAGAAGGAAGAAAGGATGCTCTGAAAGCAAGGCTGAAAGGCATGCATCTTAAGGTCCCATTTGGTTTTCTAATATAAAACCAAACAAAAACTCCCAGCAACCCACACTGACCAGAGGCTTGCCACATCTTGATGTATCTATGAACTTGTTTTTAAGATGCAATTCACTTGGAGGCAGCAGTTGTGGTGAGCACAGAAACCGAGCCATGTCCTCACCCATTAGCAGRGGTAGCTGGGAGGCAAAAATCCCCTGGAGGTGATGCCTTGACACCAAGGCACTGCCCTGGCCACAAGGAGAAGATGTGAGTCTGGTTCAGAATCCTGCAGTAGGGTTAAAGATGACAGAGAGATGATGGAWCTTCTGAGAGCTCTCACTCCTCTTACAAGTTCAGTGTCTCATAGACGAGCCAAGCACCCTGAGTGCACAAACTCCAGGCTGTGCTAAGTTCAGCAAGGCAAGAAACTTCCAGACACCCATCAAAAGSTGGAGTTAGTAGCAGTTTCAGGGGACTTAAGACAAAAGAAATATGATATATTCCTCTGTATGCTGTCTGGGACTGCAATGACTYAGCCCCTCTCTTGGCAGCTCCATTGTATTTGCCTCCTACTTCAAATGGGAAGACACTTCAGTTTCAACTTTACTTGTGTTTTACACAAACAGAGCATTTCACTTGATCACTGAAAATAACTGGGAGCAAAGTACAGTCACCTAAGCAGGTCAATTTAAAAAAAACCCAAAAAACAAAACACTTGGCATTAAGGGAAATGAGTGATGTGTTCAGGAAACTCTGCCATCAGAGTCTTCCTGAGGAAGACTGGGAGATGCAAGGGTCTGAATTCTGTAAGTGGTTCAGAAGGTGAAGTGAAAAGGGATTGTGTTATTTTTCCCTAAATCAACATCAATTTTACCCGGCTGGGAAAGCAGGTTGATTGATGGCATTATCCAAATCTGGAATTCCAGTGATTTTCCCTTTTTGGACATTTTTGCTAGTCTGAGTGTTTGAAATCCAAACAATCTGTCTGTCAAGATGGTATGCAAGTCTACGGGAAAAGATCTTTAAAACCCACTACTTCTGGGTGTTAGGGAACAGCCCTTATTTGCACAATAATGTATACTTTTCAAAATCCTTTTTTTATGTAAGTATCCACACAGAAACCTTATGCATCCATGATTTCTTTCTAACAAAACATTTGCTTACAAAGGCTTGGATCTCAGCTTATGCAAGTATAAGAGTTAGACTTTGATAATCCTTGTGGGTCCCTTCCAACTCAGGATATTCTATGATTTTATAGAAAACATTCAGTGCTGATKAGCATCTTCTGGGTATTTTGTTTTGAACAGTTTATTTTAGTTGTGGATGTTCTCAAAACCGCAAATGTCCTGAGAAAACTGTCAGTTCTTCATCAGTAGTTAGCACTGTGAGATAATTTTCTTTTCCTAATCAAATCTGCAACAGGAATTCAGTTTAGACCAAACTTGCCCTCCTTAGGAGTTTAGTACTGCAAATATGAGGTCAGAGTTAACCAAGGATTGTTAACCAGAGTTAACCAACCAAACCACCTTGTTCATGGTTGATTCTCAGTTCCATTGTTTTCAAGTTCTAATTCAATAAACAAAAACCAGTACATCAAGATATTAAATTTTATTTACATTAACATAAAGAGGGGGAAAAATCAAGAACTTATTAGTGAAAGCTATCGTGGATTCCACAGCCCTCGAAGCTGCTCACTACCTGGCAAAGGGAAACATTGAGAAGACATTGTTGGGAACATTTTGGTCTTAACAAAAAGGGTTAACCAATTTGATTTGGGTTACAGAAGCCAAATGACAATTATTACAAAACCCAGAGGCCAAGAAAAATAAAACTACAACCCCCCCATGTTTCTAYACTGTTTCTTAATAATGGCTATATTGTGAAAGCCTTTGGTCATGCCAGTCTGACCCCAACTGTGCAAGGTACCATCTGGACACATAATAAATGTTCATCTTTGCTGGCAGTCAGAAACACAARAAATAGCTGATGGATGAGATAATAGAGAAGCCAAAGTAGGAAGCAGTGAGATAGCATTACTATTTATAAAACGGATATGCCTAACAAGAACCAAAAAAAAAATAAAAGTTTTATCAGGTCAAAGGAAGGATCCACCTCATTCAGGATCCTGCCTCTGACAGCAGCTGAAAGAACTTGGGAGACTTTTTGGAGAGTGCCCCCCAAACTTGCCCATTTTCCAGCATTTGCAGGTCACAGTCTGCAAACAYCTGAGGCAGATGTTGTTGCCATACRTTCAGCAACMCTTAATGCATTTCTCTTCTATGAACTTATTCCACCAACCCTTGAACCCATGTAAGACCCTGGCACTCAAAGCATCCCGTGTTCCACTCCTCATCCACTTGTGAATTAAGGATTTACATTTGAGCCTGGCTCCTGCCCCCTTCAGCTGCTGCTGGTTTGTTCCTCCTGTGGGGATAAACGCTGAAGAATCAATTCCCAGCCTCACACCATTTATGATTTTTGTTCTCCACAGCAGAATAAACACCAAAAGATCAATAAGCCATGCCCCCTACCCTCACCCTTAGTTAACAGCAAGTTGCCATGTCCTGGCAGTTGATCAATTGGCAGTTGAAACACTTTGAAAGAGATTTTCCATGAAAAGATTTAGAAATCCATGTCACAGACTGGGTTCTGCTAGCAAAACCAAGTTTATGTGAGAAGCAGAGCAGGGACCTTGCATGCAGGGAGCAGCCAAACTGCTTTGCCCRTCACAGACTTCTCGTGGTCCATGCAGTGTGTCTGTGCCCCCTTGGCAAGGAGAAAATGGGATAAAGATCTTTCTGTGTGCCCTTCTCTTCCTTTTTTTGGCTGTTTGGCAGCCTCCACTCCCCATGGAAGATTTTCAGCATCAACCCCACACTCCTCTGAGCCCTGAGCCCCACCCTGAGTCCAACACCACAGAAGGGCCAGTCATCATCTAACCTTAAATGATCCCCATGCCAGAATTTATCATGGCAACACACTGAGGAACAGAATCAAACTGCAAGAACTTAAGAGGAAAAGCAATTTGTCTTTCTCCTTGCAGTGTCAGTGGAAAATTTTACTTGAATATTTCTTTTAAATGAAAATGATGACTCCTTCTATTAAAAAAAAAACCCATAAAACAGTGAAATGTGTAGGTTTCATGGAAGCAGACTTAAAAATTATGATTTAAACACCTCACTTTAAAGCAAAAAAAGAGTATTTGCCAAGACCAAGGGTTTTCTTCCATCTTAAATCAAGATTTTAATTTATCCATCTGCTCCTGCTGTCATGAAAATCACTAATAAAATTCTCATTATTGGGCCAAATCAGACATGAATTGAGACAAAATCAATGAAATCCCCTWAAACATCCCATAAGCAATGAACAAGAAACCTGCTGGCCAGCCAGGGAGAAACCCAATCACATCATTAAACAGAARGCAACTAAGTGCCAAAGAAAAGTGAAGATTCTGTTAGTGGATATGCCAATTTTACAAAAATTTCCTCCCCCCCCATCTCTGACAGAATAAATAGCAACTCACTTTGCAATA